ACAGACAGACACAGACAGACAGATGGACAGACAGACTCAGACAGAGACAGACAGACACAGACAGATAGATAGACAGACACACACATATAGATAGACAGACAGACACAGACAGATAGACAGACAGACAGAGACAGACAAACACAGACAGAGACAGACAGATAGATAGACAGACACACACAGACAGATAGATAGACAGACAGAGACAGACAGACAGACACACACACACACACACATATAGATAGACAGACAGACAGACACACACATATAGATAGACAGACAGATGGATAGATAGATAGATCGCGTTTCAGTTGTTCTGAATGCACAATAATCACAAGTCCGTTTGTAAAAAACAAGTTAAAATGGTTGTCAAGCCAACAATTTCCACTTCTAACATATTTCTTTTTAAAGTTTAAGTAGTGCATTTTAAGTCAAGATGCATTCTGTTAGGATGTCAGTTCAGATCTTATGTGTGTGTTTTTCTTGTAGACTGGGTTCCTCTTGCTCCGGCTCTGTTCTCTAGATTCATTCCTCAGATCGATCCTCCTGCTCTCGAATCTCAGCTCCCGTATTACGCGGCTCAAGATAAAACACTGCAGATGGAGCTTTCTCAGAACGGCTTCTCCAGGTACCGCTGTCCGCAAACCTCAGGCTGTATCTGTAAATGATGTTAAATCACACGACTGACTTCAGCTGTTTCACAGGGGCGATCAGTCGCGGAAGCGAGCGAGTGAAGAATCGTGACAGCGAAGTGGATTTATACACGACTTCGGTGACACGCCTGTGATTACGATTACACTCGCCGACAAGCTGCTGCAATTTAAGCCTTCGTAATTCATCGAAAATCACTTCACAGCAGACTTGATCTTATACAGAGATGCTTCATCTCTTCATGCAGTCCTTTGGGAATTCTCGGTTATTTGGAGGGTTCACAAAAGCATTACACAACTACACAAACATGAGCATCGTCTCTACGGTCTTTGTGGGATTGCCTCTTTTCTCTTGCTGTGATTAGCTTCACAGTATTCATCATATTTCCAGGTTGATGTTTTGAAGCGGGCTGTTGTTTTCTCTTTCTCCTCATTTTTCCTTGCTTTGTCGTTCAGAGAAATCATCCGGTTTGCTGTGATTTCAGAAAAGATGGTAACGTGATGAATGAAGGTATTCAAAATCCAGATTCTTATTCTTGAATTGTTTTTATTTTAGGATCACTACTGTAGTTTTAAACAGTTTTAGTTGATGCGTGATGACCATTTTACCTAATAATAACGTGCCTTTGGCTGTTCGCCGTCTTTTTCCTTTTTAAGTGAAATGTAAAATGCAAGTCAATCATTTATTATGACAGCTGTTGATTTTTTGTCAAAAAATTGAATCTGGAACCACAACAGTTTGTGAAAAACAGCACAGATAAAGGACATCTGGTGTGATATAAAGGGCTGCTAATAATTTATCTGGAATAAACTCATGACACTGAAACAAGAATTGTGTGTAATAACTTTCATTAAGTCACAGCGGGCCAATGGTCAAAGCCTTTCTCAGATTTTGCTAGGAGGATTCAAATGTGTTGATATTAGGCTCTGTTTGTTGTGACACAAAAAACTCTGAATTATCTAAATCAAATGCTTAAAATGTGCACTGAAAAAATAGGTGTAGGATTTCAATTAAAATTGCTAGTACATTTCACAAATAATTGCAAAGAAACAATGAATTACAGTAAATGTGATTTCTTTTATTTTTTAGAAGTAGTTAATATGTTCTTGTAAAATGTACCAGTGTTATTGTAGTATTATTGAAGTGCTATTATAGTTTTTATTAATATTTTGAATCTTTTTTTATATTTTCCATTTTCATTTAATTTTAGTGAAAGTTGTAGTGTTTTTGTTGTGTATTTTTTGTCTTTTTTTAGTAGTTTTTTACATGTATATATAGTTTTATTTCAGTTTTAGTTATTTTAGTATATGAAGTTAAATGAAAAATGTTTCCTTGCCAACTAGCTGAAATACATTTTCTAAATATTTTGTTTTATTTCAGTTAATGTTTATTTTATTTCATGTAACAATGTTATTATGATTTTAATTTTAGTTTCAGTTTTACAACTTCAAAAGTGTACATGCATTTTTGTACATTTAATGAAAATGGCATTTCCTTTTTTTCCATAGAAAACATTGAAATATCAGGAATTGTTATAATTATTATTTCCAGGCCTGAATGAATAAAATCATTTAGTTAATCTGTGAATGTGAATTTTTCTACTAGTGCTCAGAACCCAATTTTTATTAGTTGATCTTTGTGAGTGCAATTTTGTTAGAAATTATTATTAAAAATCCATATCTAGTTACCAAAAATAACTGGAAAGATATTCATTGTTCCAAATGTGTTCTGATATTCACAGGACTCTAAATATCTATTTGATCTTATGTTTTCAGAGGAATTCTGTTTGTAGTGGAACAAAAATCTTTTTAAAAAATAAAACAAAAAACCTGAGGTTAAGACATAACAACAATCTCATCTCTGATTGCAGTATAAATTCAATATCAATATGAAATCAGTGTAGACATATTATGAATTATGTATCCATGCATGCTTAAATAATTTCTACAAGTAGGCATGATATTTATTCAGAAACGTAAGACTAATTTGACGAAAGCTATTCTGCTTTTTTTTT